GATCAAGGAAGGAAAGAAGGAAGGGAGGGAGGGAGGGAGGGAAGGAGGGAAAGAAGTCTAATAACATCTTATTTGCAACAGAATTTATTAATCTTTTCAAAAAATTATGTTGCCAATAGAATATCTTATTTATAAATGCTGACTTCATTAAGTATAAAATTTTTGTGTGGGACTTTTAAAAGTATAACACCATGGCCTGATTTGGAACCGTACCTCTGCTCAAGTAAGCAGTGGACCACACTGAGGTCATTGTGAATCCAAGTTAACTGGTTGCATTTCCTATAAGGTATCCTGGCCTAATCCCTCATCCTGCGGCCACGAGTGAGATCATACAGACAAACCCAATGACTGGGTACACCTTCTTTGTACTCACGTCTCTGAGGTTTGCTTGAAGTACAGAGCTGATATACGTGGGTGTGTATGCCATTATCATGGATAACAGCCAGTATTGGCATAAATAAGACACTACAATGGCCCAAAGTGGGAGAGATTTGACCATGGCTTTAATGGGAAGTGACCAGCCTGGAGAGCAATCCTAAAAGAAAACACATGTGATTATCCCCCCATCACAAAGTAGGAGCTCCCCTGCTACAAATACCTCTGAGACACCCAGGCATGGGGAAAATGACAGGGAAATTCCTCAATGTACCTCTTGAGCCAGTGAACACACAATGTATCTCTTCTCACTAGAGCTGATAAAGGGGTGATTCTGTGGGTCATCATATACGAGAGGAAACCAGATCAGGCAACAGACACAGCCTATTCCACCTAGGATAGAAGACCCAGCCAGCATTGTATGGGTGTTTTCTTCCAGTCCGATTATTCCTATGGCTGTCAGAATAAGTAGGGCTGATACCTTACTCCCATCCCCTACATTGCACCCTTGAATGACATTATCATAGTGGGTACTTTGCCACCACTTGACTTAGGTCTTGTTCATGTAACGTGCTTTTGCCTATGCCCGAGGAAAACTGTCTTTCTTCATTGTCCTCTAGGGAGGAACATACTCCAGTGGCTCCATGATCCAAGGAAGATGAGAGAAACAGAGATTAGAGGTCACCAGTTGTTCCATGGGACTTCGGGAAGAATGACAGCTGCTTCAAACCAGTGCATTCACAGAGGCTTAAAACACACACACACTGTTCCACTGAAGAGCCACACAAGCTCTTGGTGCACTTCCCCCTCACAAACGAGCACCTGTCAGCACTCCTCCTTTTGGTTGGACTGCAAAGTTCTCTTTTTCATTGAGCCTTTTCCTGCCTTTGGTTTATCTTTCTTGTTTTATATGCAATTGATTACCTAGACCATTTCTCCATGTAGAATGAAATTAATCATCATCAGAAAACTTATCTAATACATTCCTTATTACGGTGATGGAGAACTCAACATCACCAGTACTGCATGGCTCATCCAAGTTGAATGTCATCACTCAGGTGCCATCCACCTAGTTTTTGATCACAATATTTCTCAATGGGCTGGAATTTACCAAGCAGGATGGGCTGGCTGGCAGCAAGTTCAGGGTCCTGCCTGTCTCTGCCTCCCCAGTGCTAAGATTAAAGATGTGCACCATGATACCCCCCCCCCGTGGGTTCTGGAAATCAGACTCAGTTCCTTATGCCTACATGGCAATCACTTTACCAACCAAGCCATCTCCCTAGTCTAGATAGGCGAATGCTGATAGTCTTAAAGTCATAAGATTACTCAGCTATATATTCAAGCTACTAAAATTCATACTAGTTTCTTTTTTCAGACTGATTTGTTTTATTTTATATGCATGAGTGTTTTGTCTGCATGTGTGTATGTGCTCCTCTGGAGGTCAGTAGAGGGCACGGGTTCCCCTAGAATTGGAGTTACAGATGGTTATGGGCCAACTTGTCAGTGTTTTGAACTGAACCTGGGCCCTCTGCGAAAGGCAGCAAATACTCCTAACTGCTAAGCTGTCTTTCCAGTCCAGAGAATACTAAAATTTACATGTTCTTTTATAAATCAGCAAGATTTACACCATGACTAATTTTGAAGATGGTCAACTTTACATAAATGCTACCTGCTAGACTTTGGATAGCCAGAGATATGTTCATCACAGGTGCTCAGCATTCTTTGTCATAAACATTTTGAGATTTTTAAAAAGAATAAACTTACCAAAGATATAGAAAATATAAGGCCATCCGAGGGTCTGGCAAAGAAGACCACCAGAAATGAGGACAAGGAATGTCCCAAGCATTGACCCTGAGCAAAAGATACAAGGACATTATGGGAATGAGAGTTGGTCTTGGGAATCAACTTGCTTCCTACAGAGTTGAGTGATGGTGCCTCAGGGTTTGGGTTTGATCCGGACTACCACAATACAAACCCTGCTCCTTCACTCAGCGACTGTATAATATGACACTAACAGTCTATTTGTGTCTTGGATTCTTTACACTGTGTACACACTCATTAGATGATTTATAAGGTTCCTATGAGGGTACAAGAAATGAATGTATACAAAATCCAAGAATTTGGTACATTGTTAACACGCTGTTCTGATAAAAAAATAAAAGATGGTCTATTTCTAAAAAGCAAGAATTAAGAAGACAGGCTAACTAGGATACAAAACGTTCATTCTCTTGATAGTCCATTGATGAGTACTCTTGGGCAGTGCATATAAAATGAAATTAAGATACCAGTTACCTGATCCCGCGATGGTGGTGAGTTGACTCCTTTCCAGTGGGGGAGCCCATTTGACCCACACTGAGTATTGACCTGTTAATACCATAACCTGGGGAAAATGATCCATTCTTAGAGATATGAGATCATTCTAGAACATAGATATATGCCAGTTATAGTTGGTAAAGATCTTGATACCTGAGCTATGCCTTGGATGACCCGAAGGACAATGAGCAAGGCTACTCCAGCATCAGCCGCCAGTGGAATGAAGAGAGTCAGGATTGAAGAAATTAACAAGCCTGCTCCAACCACATACTTGGCTCCAAATACTCCAGCCACATAGCCAGTGGGGATGGGAGCTAAGAATGATCCATAGCTTAGGGAGCTGAGGAGGATTCCCTGGATCTCAGGAGTCCAGTCATACACAGGGGCCTAGACGACAAGGAGGGCTTTGTTGTTTGGCTACATAGGTGGCTTGTTTCATTTCATTTTGGTTTTGAGACAGGTTCTTGCCAGCCCAGGCTGACTTTGCTCTCTTAGTCCTCTCCTCCCACCTCCAAAGTCCTGAGGTTACAACTGTGTCACACACTTTGCTTAGCTGTTAACTATTGACTGTAAGACTTGAGACACAAAAAGCAATTTGCAGTTCATTTTAACCTCTTTTAAATTCTTCCAATTCACCAGTCTCATAAAGAAAAAAAAGTCCAATTATATGCACCCATGATTAACTGACCAATTAAAATACGGGAGTCCATGCTGGTGTGTGCCTGGAATCCAAGCACTTAGGAGGCTGAAGCAAGAGGATAATGAGTTTTAAAGACAGACATAGAAAGTCCCTGTCTTAGAAAGGCAAACACATATAATATCCATATCCATGTAGGATATATATGAACTACTATATTTTATATATTATAGATAGATACATTATATATATGCATATATATATATATATATTAGATACAGGCAGAAGGAAAAGCTCATAAGGAAAGAAACTTCATAGCTGAGATATTGAGCATTATGTGGAAGAGAAAGTTGACATAATCTATGAACCTGGTTTTGTGATGATTTTCATCCTTATAGAAGAAGAATTTATTTTTACTAAATGATTAACCATATTTCATTCTGACTTTGCCATGGTTTCACTTATAGACACTAAATAGAAAGAGATAAAAGTCTTCTCAAATATGTGTTATGTTCTCATGCTAAAGGGATTTCATTTTCTCATAAGATGGCTCTTGAATCAAAGAAATAGCTCAGGCTCTCATAAAACATATCATTACCTTAGATTCCTGTAGTGTTTCATTCCAGAAGTCTTGGGAATTGGCAGGGGGTCTTTCTGTGGAAGTATTTAGCTGGCTGGATGCTGCTGTGGTGTTCACCATAGCTGTTATGGCAATGCTCAAATTCATTTGTTGGGTGTAAATTGAAAAATTACAGAGCTGCAAGATAAAGGCTAGACCATGCCTCAGTGAACAGAAGCCTAGGAGGAAAAGGAACAAAAATCATACAGTCAGCCTGCTTTCTTCCTACCCTTTCTAGGTCTGGAAGAGGCAAAAGGCTTGTGTCTGCTTGGTTCTCACAAGTATAGGGGGTGCAGACACTGTTCTTTGGGAGACTCCATTCTCCTGAGATGGAGAGCTTCTTCCTTGGAAGCAGAGCCTTAAAGAATATATGGAGAGCCAGCCTCAGAGATGGGGTTATCAGGACTCTGGAATGAACCATCAAGGGCTTGAACAGGTTTAGAGCAAGAACCGTCAGGAAGCTGAGATTGCTGTGTGTATTTGTGGGGAGGGGGTGAAAATTATTCCCAATTCCCTGCTTAAGCAGATGAGATCAGTGTCATTTATAACTATTAACAATAAGATATTTAACTTGTGCAGGGCTTTGAAGGACTAGTATGAGTGACAGGCTAGTGCTAGGTTGAAGTTGTGTATCATCTTCATCTTAACACAGTAATCTAGGCTTGCAAAAAGCCTGCCTCTGTTCCAATCACTTTAGTTTGATCACAACTGGGAGGCAGAGGTAGCATGTGGTCACTGTGGTCAAACTCTGTGTTTGCGTTTGCAGCTTCCAGGTTTCATCCAGGGAGAAGATGAAGCTGGAGTAGCCAACGCGGCACCGTTGCATGTAGAGATGCACTTTTAAAATTGAGGATTGATGGATATCACCTTTGGCCTGAGTCTAGGCCCATTTAATTCTAGGACCTCCTTCTGAAAGTTACAGTGGAATTTTGGCCATTGTTGTTTTAATGTGTCATATTTCATTAAGGAGTGTGGCCAGGTTGTCTTCTCCATGCTTCACCCATGTACTCGTCTTTTCAGTGCCCCAACATGAAACTGTAATCATCAGTTAAGCCCCTGAAGGTTTTATCAAGTACTTTGTGTTGCTTCTATAACTAAATTAAGTTTATTATTATGTTTTTATTTGTTTGTTTGTTGAGAAAGGGTTTCATTATGCAGACCAGGCTGGGATTACAGGTGTGACCGTGACCAGTGCTTGTCATTTTCATGTTTCTTCTTTCCCTTGGGCTTTGATGGGAAACATGATAGACAGACAGACAGACAGATAATATATACACATTTACATACAAATCATGTGGGAAAACAATTCTTCTTACTGTTTGCAACATCTTTTCGTTTTGCCCATCAACATGGTAGGGAGAGTATTCTTGCTAGATCAGAATTTACTGAAAACACTTCTTTATGTTGTTGCTTGTGAGTGCGCCATGTACTTCAAACATATTAAATATCCTACTCCTATTTTAATATTCATGGGTTTTATCTAATTCCTTTAAATCTTGGAAGCAGTCACCTGGATCTCCATCCCAGATGCTTTACTAATAGCAAGTTTTGAAAGTCTCTGTGGCTCCTGAACTTCACCAGGGTTGTAAAATAATTTGTCTGTAGGTGCCTCAGTGAGAGCTGAGCCATTCACATATTGCGCTGTGATGGCGGCTGCTACTATTTGACACTTTTTGCATTCTTAAAATAATCTTTCACTCACAGTTGTTTCTAATGACAGAATCGTTTGTCTTGTTACTTTAACTAGGATCTTACTTCAACTAGAATTCAGCGTATGTAGTTGAGTTGTATTTGTAGTTGGTGACATATCTATCATTTTGTCCTCATCGGGGGAAAGCTGTTAAGTTTTCATCTTGACAGTGATCTGAAATGAGTTAAATAGACCCCAGCCCTTAGCCCTTAGCCCTTGGCCAAAGGCCAAGCTCAGCTTCCTATTTCAAATCTGCTCTGAGGTGATTCAGATTTGTTGGTCCCCTGGTTTTTATGTATGTTTTGTTTTGTTTTGTTTTTGATTTGGTTTTGGTTTTTGGTAGCTTTTTTTTTTTAAGTTGTTTTGTGTTTTTGTTTTCACTTCCAAATAACGGCCACATGATTCTGTTCTTTTCTGTATGCTTTCAAGATTACCCGTGAGAAATGAAGTAATTACAAGTAAAAATGCCTTATCACCTTTAAGCTCTGTTGGCTATTGGCAGTAGTGAGAAAAAGGAAGTTGGGAGACATAGATCCTATTTTTCTCATAGCCAAGGTTTACCTTTCTTGAAGGATTGTTCTTGGGTCATGTTTAAATTGCTGTCATTGGGAATGTCTCCCACTCTCGCCTTGATGTCTGCTCCAGTAGACATTTTGTCTTTTTCCTTCTAAGGTACAGCATCTACTTACTGAAATAAAAACATGTAAGAGCAAACACAGACAAGAAAGCACCCTGTGTCTTGTATGACGTGGTCCCCATCTTTGGCTCTGATAGTAACCAAATGTGAGGGCTTAGAAAAGCAAAGATAGAGCCAAATGGCTACTTTAACATGAAAGACACAAAACCTCAACCATTCTCTACAGTAGCCCACAAAAATATTTTGAAATGTGTACAAAATTCCCTGAAATTATTCATATGTTTATGCATCTTATTTCAACAATTCTTGATAATTATTATTTTATATATCTGAGGGCTTATTAAGCTTCACTACAACTGAAAATTTTATGGTATCCAATAATAATGGCAGTTGTAGGTCATTTTCACCATAATGAGATCACAATAGCTAGCTGTATCTTTGAAAAGGGGAATCTAGCCTGTATTGTCTAGATCATCTATAAGATTCTTTCTATATCTGTGTGGTCCCTGTTCTTAAGCTGGAATTTGTAACACCTGGACATGAATTTCTTTCTATTTTTTTATTTAAATTAGAAACAAGCTTGTTTTACATGTCAATCCCAGTTCCCTCCCCTCCTCCCCTGTCCCCAACTGACCCCCTACCCCATCCCCTTTCTGCTCCCCAGGGAGGGTGAGGCTGTCCATGGAGGAATCTTCAAAGTCTGTCATATCATTTGGAGCAGGGCCTAGGTGGACATGAAAATTTTTAGCCACTTACGTGAAATTTTATCTGGAAGATTCCAACAGACTAAATTTTCTGGAGTAATACAAACTGTCCCGTTAAAACAATTAGACTAGGTAAAATCTGGCAAACAATTGTCCTTTGAGGATGCAATGGAAATTGCATGTGATGTAGGGCTGAGTGAGGCATAGAGGTATAGAGGCAGGGTCTGTCGGGGTGCAGGAGTGTGGCCCAGGAACTATGAAGGATGAAGCCAGGCCCATGCCGGGAATGAGATTATAAGGAAAATCCTAACACACAGCCAGAAGCCCTAGAGGCCCCCGAACTTGAAGAATCTCTGCACATTCCCCAGCCTCTAGTTTAAAAATAGGGACTCTGGAAATCCCTGGAGAATTGGGGTTTTGCATTCACACTATATTGTCTGGGAACTAAGCCCCTAATGAAAAATCAAGGACTATAGCTAGGTTCTTTTGATGTACACAGGCCACAGCAAATTACTACAGGCAAAGTTCTACTTAATACGAGCTCGTGCTTCAAAATGATGAACATCCAGAGAGGAAGCCCCAACTAAGCCAAGTCATCAGACTTAACACCCAGAAGACATTATATATAATTAAAATGATACTTAAAGTGTTTAAAGAGGGGCTAGAGAGACAGCTTAGCCATTAAGCTCTTTCAAGGGGGCTGTTTTGGATTTCTGGGTGTCAGAAGGTTATGTGCACACTACCAGAGGAGAACAGTAACCATCAGCTGCAAATTCTTCAAGCTGCAATAACTACTGATCAGGCAAGACATGCTGCTTTAGTTAATTTTCTATTGCTGTGTTAAGACACCATGACCACAGCAACTGACAGATAAAAGTGTTTGTTTTCGTGTACAATTCTAGAGAATTAGAACCCACAATAGGGAAGCGAAGGCATGACGTCAGGGGCAGGGAGCTGAAGGCTCACATCTTGAACTGCAAGCATCAGGCAGAGGGTACACATTAGGAATGGAACGTGGTTTTAAAACCTCAAGGCTTGCCCTCACTAACATACGTCCTCCAGCAAGGTTACACCTTCCCAACCTACCCTGTAGGGAGCAGAGGAAGCCGGGATTGAAGTCCTGAATAAGTATGTATTAGTGATATGGGCACAGCCATACAAGGACCAAGGCATCAGACCCATGGGAGATGGCAAAGCCTTTCCCCATGTGGGTAGTCTTGAAATTGGCATAGTCTTCTTTTTTTTTAAAGATTTATTTATTTATTATGTGTACAGTGTTCGGCACCAAATCTCGTTACAGATGGTTGTGAGCCACCATGTGGTTGCTGGGAATTGAACTCAGGTCCTTTGAAAGAACAGGCAGTGCTCCTAACTGCTGAGCCATCTCTCCAGCCCCCAAAGTCTTCTTCTTTTGGTCCAAGTACCAGTGTTTACAGATGATTGATCAAGTGCATACAAAAACTAACACTGCAACTCCCTCCTCCTGGATGTTTACAGCTTCAGACTCCTTGCCTACAAAGACCTCCTGCCAAGCAAGACTAGCTAACTTCTTCTCCTTGGGCTGTACATAATAAACATGCTAAGGTTCTGGGTTGTAGGAGAAGTAGGTGCAGCTCCATCAGAGGATACACAGCCTACTCAACCCTAGCTTTTCTGTATGTGCGTCTATCATTTTTTCATTCCCTCATTGTCTTTAGTCAAGATTGCAGAACCAAGTCACATGGGGCATAGCACTACCCAGCAGTGCCACTAATTGTGGATCAAGATTTCAAATGCCTGAGACTATGGGGTCTTATTCAAGCCACCACACATGCCCATTAGAACAATAGTGGCATAAACATCATGAGTGTAACCATCCACATTCTTCTTATATTTAAGGCCAATTCTACAAGAAGAAGTTCATTCCTGGCACCATTTACCAGCCAAGAACTTGTGGTTATGGCTAGATAGGTCATATTCCCTACTGCTATTCTTCTGTTGAATGGGCATATTATTAAACCAATTCCTAATGTCTTAATATATGAATAAATTAATACATCTTATGATCCTACTCAAAGAAGCTTCTATTTGCAGCAAAGCAGAGAGACACAATTGGTCAAGGTATGGAAAATAAGAGACTGCAGAATGTTCAGTCCTGAATGGAACACACATATACACACATAAAACATAAATATAAATGAATAAAATTTAAAGCAACAACAACAAATATTCACCACAAAAAACCTCTGATTACAACCTATAAGACATAGAAATTCTTCATTCTGATGATATCTCCGTGTGTATATGTATGTGTATGCCTGTGTGTGTCTCTCTGTGTGTAATGGGACTCTTGTCTCTCATCTGAACATACACCAAGAAAAAAATAGTACATTCTGACCCCTACTGAACTTGGAAGGGACCACCTCAGAGGTCTCAGAAGAAAGAAACTACTGAATCAAACTCAGCGGCACAAACTAACCGAGATGGACAAGCAGAAGGAATATCTTATCCATCCAGATTTTACAAAAGAGGAAGAGAGGCAGGGCCAACTCATAGTGGCTACTTGCTAGGGAGCATTTATAGGGCTACACATATGCCCGATAGAATTTGTTGGGGGAGGGGCAGAGGCAAAAAGGACAGAGAGAAGGGGATTTGTGAGTTCATATGCTTTTGAACTCAGAGGGCCCAAGCTGTAACTGTGGGTGTATGTTGCATAGAGGAGAAAGCACCCACCCCATGCTGAAAGTGTGTCATGTCTTCTGTGTCTGGGGCACAGACACACACATCCTGTGTTAACCGGATGTGGATTACTTGAGAGAAATCAAAGTCAGTCACAGCTTTCTAAAATCTGCCCAAGCACATGGCATAGAAGTTGTTCTGTGACCACAGCAGAAGTGGACTAAAAGATGGTCAGCAGCTGAGGAAAGAACCAAAAGGCATGAGTCACCCTGAAAGGAAAAGGACCACTGAAGTCCCCATCTAAAGATGCAGCATGGGCTATCCACTGGGTCAAAAAGACACTGCCTGCCTCATATCTGGTTCAATTGCCCTAGCCCAGCTCTGGAAGAGTTAGAAGCTTTAGCCAGGACAAGAGGAGAGGGGAGTGGCTGATAAGGGCAACATGAGGCTATCCAATCAGCCCTTCCCTCCAGGGTGCAGCCTGAAATTGGGAAGTTTTACTTTAGATAAAGTTTGGAACTTTATGTTCTCTGTTGTAGTAGGCCTATTGTCTATGATGTTGGGATTATCTGAAGTCTGAAATGAACTTCTTACTGCCTGAGGATGAACACAGACAGAGAAATTGGAGGGCCAAGCCAAAATAAAGGAAAGTAAGGGAGGAGGAAGTTTCTGGTGAGGCAAAGCCATTCTTCACCTGCTTTTTAGGGAATACAAAATCATTACATTGAAGAAGATAGGCAGCACGTGCTGGGTTTGGTATGAACCCGTGTATCGATGTCATTGCAAACGTCACCTAATTTCCAGGCATGTCACCACTACAGCTAAAAGTGAACGGTCACAGGCAAGACTCCAACTTACACCATCTGCGATTAGACTGATGAGCCTGCCAGCCTGCATTGAAATTCAGAAATAAACTGACGGACAGGTTAAATCCAAACCAACACTGAATGGCAGAATCAAGTGGGTCAAGCCTGAGGACTCTGCTGGAAAAGCAAAATTGAGGGGCAGACTCTTATGCACACCTTAGGGAGACTGGTGGAACAGAAGTGTCTACCATTCACGGAACTGAAGAAAGAGTTCAGGGCAGCATTTTCCTCTGTAGCTTTACAGACCCTCCCAGTGAAGCAATGCCACAGAGCTCACTGACTGCTGGCCCGTTCATTGATTCAGTAAACATCTGTGGAATAAATGGAATGCTCTGCTTCCGTGGCTTTCTCCAGCATGACTAAAGGTCTTGACTCTCACTCACTGCTTTCCATAGATACTTCACCAGAAGCGTGTATGCCTGAAAATGGACTTCCTTGAGTTTGTGACATAAAGTGGAGTTTGCCAGTTGACGGATAAGGGTGGGACAAGGCTGATGGAGGCAGAGAGACAGGCCTATGGAAAATATGCAGGACACATGCCCTGGTGAGTGAAAGGGTGCAATATAATAAGAAAAAAAATAAAAAGCAAGGAAGGCATAGCTGGGAGGCAAGCGGGAGAGTATGGATGATAATGACTAAGGGGCTAACTCTGACAGAGAGGGCATCTGCTTTGCTTAGTCTAACCAACTAGTCTGCTGGTACCCAGTGGCTATCTCTGAGCTGAGAGGGAAGTCCAGCTGCACATGAGCATGGTAGCAAAAGATGAAAGAAGTGGCTTTGGCTTGTT